TATGATATGCCTGAGTCAAACATATTTGCCTCTTAAGGATAAGGTGTTAAACAGCTGACTAGAGGCCTTCAAGATGGCTCAGCAGGTAAAGGCACTTCCCATCAGGTCTGATGACATGGGTTTGATCCCTAGGACCAACAAACCGACTCCTACAAGTTGTCCTCTGATCTCCACATGGCATTCACACATACATACAAATAAATGTAATTTTTTATATCGTATTTATTATTTTATGTGTACAAGTGTATTGCCTGCAATGCCCACCGAGGTCAGAAGAGGGCATGGGATCCCCTGGAACTGGAGTTCCAGATGGTTGTTAGCTGCCATGTGGGTGCTGGGAACCAAACTCGGGTCCTCTGCAAGAACAGCCAGTGCTCTTAATCACTGAGCCATGTCTCCAGCCCCATAAATATTAATTTTAAATTAATAGAAAGAGCTGAACACATCAAGTATTGTGGTACATGCCTTAATTCCAGTACTTGGGAGGAAGAGGCAGACAGCTCTCTTGAAGCCTATGTAGTGAATTCCAGACCAGTCAGGTCTACATAGTGAGATCTTGTCTTTTAAAAAAAAAAAAAGCTTATTAGAACTTTTAAATATGGCAGTGATTATTGATTACATCACCAACATTCACTTTTTCTCTTTTTTTTTTTTTTACTATTTATTATTTTATGTGTATGAGTGCTTTGCCTGTATGTATGTAAGTGTACCACATGTATGCAATGCTCATAGAGACCAGAGGAGGACATTGGTGCCTCTGGAACTGGAGTTACAGGTGGCTGTTAGCAACCATGTGGATGCTGGGGATTGAGCCCAGATCCTCAGAACAGCAAAGTGTCCTTAACCACTGAGCTATCTCTCCAGCCTTTTTCTCTTTTTAAAAATACAGTTGTAGGGGCTGGAGGGACAGCTCAGTGGTTAAGAGCACTAGCTGCTCTTGCAGAGGACCCAGGTTCAATTTCCACACCCACATGGTGGCCAACAACCATCCATAACTCCAGTTCCAGGGGAATCTGACATTCTCTTCTGATCTCCAAGGGCACTGCAAGACATGGGTGTGCTTATATAATGCAGGTAATACACTCATACACACAAAATAAAAATACTTCTTAAAAAATACAGCCGCCAGGTGTGGTGGCACACACCTTTAGTCCCAGCACTCGGGAGGCAGAGGCGGGCAGATCTCTGTGAGTTCAAGGCCAGCCTGGTCTACATAGTGAGTTCCAGGACATCTGGGGCCACAGGGACACCCTGTCTCAAAAAGGCCAAAAAAAAAAAAAAAAAAGAAATACAGTTGTGAAGTCAGTCATGGTAGCTCAAACCCATGATTATAGCACTTGAAAGTAGCAGGAGGATCACATTTAAAGCTAGCCTGGACTGCACAGTGAATTTCAGGCCAGCCTGGACTACAGAATGGGACATTGTCTCAAAAAAGCAAAAAACAGAGAATTGTGTTAGAGATGCTATTGTGTACACACACAAAAATACAATTATTTTCCATTCTCTCTTGCAGACTTCATGTAGGTAAGTATGGCAACATGTCACAGTTCTGGCAAACAAAATATAAATGGTATCATTGGCTGAGACTTCTGGGGAAAATCCTCTAAAAAGAAGTATATTAGTTATTTGTTACTTAATAAGGAACCACTCCAAAACAGAAGTTTCAAACATTTATTCAGGCTGTAGTGGTGGAGCATGCCTTTAATCCCAGAACTCAGGAAGCTGAAGCAGGTGGATCTCTGTAAGATTGAGGCCAGCCTGGTCTATATAGTGAATTCTAAGCCAAGTGCTACAGGGGGACCCTGACTCCAAAAAAATTTCCTCAGTAATCTGCAATTTGGGCTGGTCTCAGCTGGGCATCCCTGGGTAACTAATTCAGCTTGATCGTCTGGCCCAAGGTGGCTTCCTCAGGTCTCCTTCCCATAATCTTTTCAGTGGAATAGCTTACAGTTCCTGTGTACTCTCTCTCCCCCTCCATCCTTCCCTCCATCCTTTCCCTCCATCCCTCTTTTGAGATGGGGTCTCTCTATGATGCCTAGGCTTGCCTCATACTGCTGGGCTCAAGCCCAGCCTCAGTTTTCCAAGTAGCTGGAGCCACACAATACCCTGATAGCTTGAGCAGCAACAGCATTGCACGAGTGCAAGCCTTTATGTCACATCTGTTGACATTCTGTTGGCAAAAATTCACATTGCCAAGCCCAAGGCCAATGTAAGAGAGAACTTCACAGCGGTATTATGGACAGAAAAAAAGCACACAGACTAGAAATATTGTGGTTGCCAGGCAGCTCTGGAACTAGTTGAGGAGGAAATAAGCCTGGAAGGAGCTGGAAGACTGCTTTCTTAGTAGTAGACTCCCTTAAGAATAATCACACATAGTAGCTAGTTGGGAACTTTTCTATGTACATAATCCTTAAGCATTTAGTTCGTTTTTGACAAATACTACATCTGGTATTAGCATGATGTGCCCATCATACTAGAGTGACCAAAAAAAGAGAAAAAATCTACCAGTAAAGTCTACTGACTGTAGCTACATATAGGCCCTAGGAACATCATGGCCCAGGAAATTCAACATTTTGAACAATGAGCTAAGCAATGCTAATTAGACTGGAGCAAGGTGATGAAAGAAAAGAAAAAGGCATCACCAATCTCAAGGACTCCTAGAAGCAACTAAAAAGATTTTGATGGAGGAATAGACATCAAAGTTCTTGGCCTTAATGCATGAAGTAATTTTGAATAAAAAAAATTAAAGTTGAGTGTAGTGGCATATACCTGCAATCCCAGTACTCAGGACGCAAAGACAGGAGGATTGCCACAAGTTCGTGGCTAGCCTGGTCTATATAATGAGCTCTGGGCCAGCTAGGGCTATACAATGAAATCATATCTCAAAAAATAATTTTTTAAAGCCCAGTCTTGTGGTGCACACCTGTAATCCCAGCATGCAGAAGCAGAGGATAGTGAGTTACAGGCTAGTCTGAGTGATACAGCAAGACCTCTTCTCGGAAAATGAAGGGCTGGGGCATAGCTTAGTAGTGGAGCACTTGCTTAACATATGCAAAGCCCTGGGTCTAAGCCCCAGCAATGAAAAACTATATAGGGGCAACCACAAACCATAAGTTAAATTAGAATCTCTAGGGAAAGAGCCCAGGCATATTTTTTAGAGCTACTTGATGAACTCCAACATGTAATCAAGGTGAGACCCACTGAACTAAGTTTCCTAAAAACCAAGTCTTGATGTGTGAACTTATTGGGCCATAAAATGTACTTGTATAACAATGGTCAAAATAGATTACATGGTGTGAGATTAAAATTTTAGATATTTATTTTCCAGTACTGGGGATGATATCACAGCCTTGTACATGCTGGACAACTGCTCTCTCACTGAGCTACATCCCAGTCAATATTTGTTCCTTTTTTGGAAGTGATTACAATGAGCTGGGTGCAGTAGCCCATAATCTAAGCACTCAGCAGTCAGATGTCTTTGGAACATCTAAGCTTTATGTACCTTGCAATTCCTTTAAAAGGCTGGGCACTTCTAATGCTTACAATCTCTAAAGTGATCCAGCGCAACCCTTTAGGAGATCCAGGTTTGGAGTTGTTAGTTTGCTTGTGTGTCCAAGTATTTTGTTTGTTTGTTTGTTTGTTTGTTTGTTTGTTTGTTTGTTTTTGAGACAGGGTCTCCCTGTAGCCCCAGCTGTCCTGGAACTCACTATGTAGACCAGGCTGGCCTTGAACTCACAGAGCCTGCCCCTGCCTCCCAAGTGCTGGGACTACAGGCGTGTGCCACCACACCCAGCTTGTCCAAGTATTTTTGTTTATTTTTTTTCAGATTTTGATACTGGGTCTCATTATGTATCTCAAGATGGCCTTGAATTTGTGATCCTCCTGCCTCAGCCTCACAGTGCTAGAATTATAACCATATGCCACAATTCTTGTCTAGAAGACAGCTTTTGTCTTATATGTGCATGCATGCATGCCATGGCATATGTGTGGAAGTCAAAGGACAATTGATGGAATTTGATTCTCTCTATTGTGTAAGTCCCAGGACTCGAACTCAGGTCATCAGCCTTAACAAGTGCCTTTACCTGCTGATCCATCTCACTGATCCTGGAAGATAGCTTCTGTTGTTTTTAATTTTTTTAATTATTTTTATTTTATGTGTATGAGTATATTGCCTGCATATATGTAAGTGTACCCATGCTGTGCAATGCCGACAGAGACCAGAAGAGGGCATCGGATCCCTGGAACTGGAGTTACAGATGATAGTAACCACCATTTGGGTGCTGGGAACTGAAACCTGGTCCTCTGCAACAGTCAGTGCTCTTAACCACTGAACCATCTCTCCAATCCATTTAAAAATGTTTTTAAAACTTTATATTAATTTTTATATGTATGAGTATTATGCCTACATGTATGTAAACACATCTGTGTTGGGCAGTGCCAGCAAAAGCCAGAAGAGGGCATTGGATCCCCTAGAACCAATTACAAACTGTTGTTAGCTGCCATGTGGGGGCTGGGATTCAAACCTGAGTCTTCTGTAAGAGTAGCCAGTGCTCTTAACTACTGAGCCATCTTTCCAGTCTCTGTTTTAATTTTTGTTGTTGTTGTTGTTATGTGTATGCATGCGGGGGGGTGCACATAGATACAGTTACCCACAGAAACCAGAAAATGGCACTGGATCCCCTGGACCTTACAGACCATTGTGAGCTGCCCAACGTGGGTGCTGGGAACTGAACTCAGGTTCTCTGTAAGAACAATACATGTTCTTAAATGCTGAGTGGTCTCTCCAGGCCCATGTTGCTGTTTTTAATCATGTGTGTAAGTGTAGGTACATGTGTGCCATTGCATACTTGTGGAGGTCAGAGGACAACCCTTAAGAGTTGGTTCTGGCTGGCTATAGTGGCGCATGCCTTTAGTCCAGCACTGGGGAGGCAGAAGCAGGAGGATCTCTGAGATTGAGGCCAACCTGATCTAATGGCAAGTTCCAAGGCAGCTGGGGCTACAGAGAGACCCTGTCTCAAAACAAAACAAAACAAATCAAAAAAGAGTTGTTGGTTCTGTCCTTCTACTGTGTGTGGGTTCTAGGAGTCAAACTCAGGCCACCCAGCTTGTATAGCAGGTGTTTTGCCCACTAGCCCACTTTTTTTGAGACAGGGTCTCAGTCTATAGTCAAAGCTGGCTGGACTCAAACTCATGGCAGCTCTTTTGCCTCAGCCTCCTAAGTACTGGGATTGCAGGCCCAGCTTTAGAACACTGCCATGTGATGGCACCTTTAAATTTCACAAGTCTCACTGCAACTCCTAAAGCACAGTCCCCACTTGGAGATCACCACCAGGTGAAGATGAATTTGTAGAAGCATCTGTTAAGGTTGGCCCAGGATTCCTTATTCAGGGAGTACTTCTCACAGGCTACCTGGTACCCCTGGGCCTTAATGTCCTTCTCCAAGCAGTACATGAGGTCCTCAATTCCAGGGCCCACCCTCCAGGGTCCAAATTTGACAACAGGTGTCTTTTTGGCCTCTAGGTTATTCAGGGGCTCCACACACTGTGCAGCTTCCTCCTCTGTGCACACCACACACACCACCACCGTTGATCTGCGCATTGCCACAGCCTCTGCCCGTGCCAGGTGCAGCAGGACTTCCAGGTTCTCGCTGTAGTTTGGCACTTCTAGCAAGAACTGCTTGCGAGCCACTTGTTCACCAAAGATCTGAGGCATGTCCTCCAAAATCTTGACCAAAAGATGGATTTGGTAGAACTGAGCCTCACGGTATACTTCAGGAATGTGCTGCGTGGGCACCTGCCCAGTGCGTAGATAATCCAGGATGGGCCCAAAGTAGGTGCCAGGACGATCGATGAAGAAGCGGCCCCCTGCGTCTTTGCAGGGCTTCGATGACCTGGATAATATCTCTGAAAACTTTGTGCCTGGATGTTTCAACAGCAGGGTGCTCATGGTGGTGGTATAGAATTGGCCCCCTACATTCAGCTCCACAACCTGGGGACACAAGCAGCAGAGTGAACCAACAATGCCACTCCGGGAGGTGCACACTTATTAGGGTGTGTGCTGGCTGCTGCCGGGGTGGGGGTGGATATCTATGCAGTAATAAAGATTAAGGCTAAATTTCTGACCTGGAGATTTGAGCTCAAATCAGTGCAGGGCTAGTGATGGGGACAGTCCTTCATTCTGATGAGGTGTGACCTCATTCTCAACCAGCCTGTGTCTCTATTTCAAAGATTTAAGTAGTATACTGGAATTAAGAGAGCCATAGGCAACCAAACTGCTGGGAAGCACTGAGTTGCTATGGTAGCAGGTCCTCCAAGGGCCAGTTTCAGCTGGCTGGAGGAGATAAAGCAAAGGAGACTGATGGACCCTGACAGCAGTCAAACAATACAGCTGAGAAAAATAACCCCAGAACCTATGTCCTTCTGCCTCCCTAAACCTCAAGGCACCTTGGCATGGCTGTTTGGTTAACCCTGCGGTCACTTCTACAAAGCAGTCTGTTAAGCAAGGAACTGCAAGACTTTAACCCTTGAAAAAAACAGTATGTTAGCACTCCTGTGCCACTGAAACTCAGCTCACAAATCCTCTTAATGTCCTTCTCCTACAGACAAAAAAGCTCAGAGAAAAGAGTCATGGAGCTAGGAGGTAACAGAGTGGAGCTAGGATCAAATGTCCATTTATCAGTTGGACTCCTATATAGGGGAGGGTGCCTCAGCCCACCCCCAACATCTGGTCGCACTGCAGCTGCTAATTAGCATTCTGTCTGGGGTAGTTCACTTTTCTTCTCTGTCTTAAGCTTTGTCATCTGCAAACAGGGGAAGCAAAATGGACACGAAGAACTCTAAATCCCTCCAGCTCTCAGAGTCCAATTAGCCCAGTCACTTCAAATGTCCTTTCTTTTTTAAAAATATATTTATTTATTATCTTTATTTCATGTGTATTGCCTGCATGTATGTAAGTGCATCCATGTTGTACAATGCCTGTGGAGGTCAGAAGATGACATCATAGTTACAGATGGTTGTTAACAGCCACGTGGGTGCTGGGATCCTCTGCAAGAGCAGTCAGTGCTCTTGACCACTGAGCCATCTCTCCAGCCCCCCAAATGTCCTTTCTGAAGCTAATTTCCAGATGCTAAAAAAAAAAACAAAAAAAAACCAAAACCAACTTCCTAGCCATCTGTGGTTGAACAAATCTATAATCCCAGTACTCAGGGGTGAAGGTAGGAGGAGCATGAGCTCAAGGCCAGCCTGAGCTATATAGTAAGACCATGTCTGAAAAAGACAAAACAAGGGGCTGGAGAGACGGCTCAGCAGTTAAGAACACTGGTTGTTCTTGCAGAAGACCCAGGTTCGAATCCCAGCACCCACATGGCAGCTAACAACTGTCTGTAACTCCAGTTCCAGGGGATCCAACAGCCTCTTCTGTCCTCCGTGGGCATTGGAGGACACGGGTGCATTTACCTACATGCAGGCATAACACTCATACACATAAAAAATTTTTTTTAAAAAGACAAAGACAAAACAAAAAATAGCTTCCTGTCCTAATAATGTCCTGAACACCATTCCTTTGTTTATCAAGACCTCAGCTCTTACCTAGTTCAAGTCTGACAAGTCTGAAGGGCCCTTATATATTTCACCTTGCCCCACCCAATACTCAAACATTTCCTTAGATCACCCTCAGCTGAGTAAGTGGATGTCAAGCCAGAGTGGTGGTATGCACCTTTAATTCCAACACTTAGGAGCTGGAACTCTGTAGCCAGGTGTGGTGGTTACACACCTTTAATCCGACAGAGGCAGAAACAGATGGATCTCTGTGAGATCGAGGCTAGCCTGGTCTACATGAGTTTCAGGCTAGCTAGCTACAGGGAGACTTCTCTTTCCAACTTCCAACACTGTCCTTCCTATTGTTCCCCATGTAGCTGTCTGAGCCAGAAGCCTAGCGGATCTGCTTCCCTGTGTCCCACATACCTATTCATCACCAAGGCCTAGTAGTTCTGCCTGATAAATTCCATGGTTGCCTGCCCTCTCTAGGTCTTACCCCACCCCATCCATTCTTCACTTTGAAACCAGTTTCTTTTTTTTTCTGAAATGTAAATCTGAGCCTGTCACTTCTCTCTCATAGTAAACAGTTGAATGACTGACTGACTCTTCATTGCCTTTCAGATAAACTCTAGACTCTTTTGGGTTTATATGGCTTTTTGCAACAAGCCTCTAGCAATCAAGGATCAAACCACCTGCTGCACCCCTCTCTCTATCCGTGGGAGCATGGGGGCACTAGGCCTCCAAGACTTCAAGCCCTTGCCACTCACCTTCCCATCATTGAGTCTACCCATCTTTCAAATTAGTTTCCCAGGGACCCTTCTGGAACCGTGGTTTTATGATCCTAGAGGGCTGTGCAGTTCTACTATGGTGGCTGCTCCCTTGGCATTTCCTGTTTATTCATCTGTATTCTCCATCATACTGTGAAGTTCAAAGGGAAACACTACTCCTGGTCCAGCCTTACATCACCAGCACCTGCTAGCAGGGCTCAGCACACCAGAGACACTCAGTGCTTATCTGTTGAACTGAATGAAATTCCTCTTGGCCCTGATTTGCAGGAGCACCTGGTATTCTGACAGAGGCCCATCTTGCTCAACTTGGCACCAAGCTCAGTGCTGGCTCTGCACATGACCCTTGCCTAGGAACTCATTCTGGCATTTCTCGAGCACTTAGTAGAGTACTGATCACCCCAAATCTGAACACCTATAGCACCTTGATATTGAGCAAGTGACTTTGAAAACAGCTAATCATCCATCACCCTATTGGAAAAAGCCACTTTCCCCACTGCTGAGTTTGCTTTTCCTCCCTTCTGGTCTTCAGAATAATACTCAGTCCAGAAGAGGATTAGACTTTTATGCTCTTAGAGTCCACCCAGCCTGTTCCTGATCCTCTTACTGGTAGCTGCCAAGAGAGGCAGGCACCTTTAGGGGCTAAGTCCTGCACTACAGGGGAGGAAAAAACTGCCACCCACTTAAAAGGCTATTAACACACTCTCAAAGTTGTCCTTTGTTTTATTTAAACTGAAACTCCAGAAGAACTGGAGAAATTTATGAGGAAACACCCAAGGTCATTGAGTCATCTGATGCAATCTTTTAAGCCACTCAGTTTAAACCTGGCTCACAGTAATACTGAAGTGAGCATGCCCAAAGGGTCCAAGTCTGTCATCTTCGTTTCTTTTTTAAAGACAGGGTCCTATAGCCTAAGCTGGCCTCAGACTTCCCTTACTCCTGTCTCAGCTTCCTAAGTGCTGGGATATGGAACTCGACTATAGAATGAATATTATTTTTGCTCCTATTTTTTTTTTTTTTTTTTTGCAGTGCTGGGGATTGAGTCTGGGGCCTCCCACATGCTAGGCAAACCCAGGGCTCAGCTACACCCTGGGCCCAATGCTCCTTTTTAAGAATTTTAACCCGTGAACTAAAACTGAGCATGTGGTTTCTTATATGAACGTGTATAGGCTTTCTGAATACAATCCCCACATTTCCTTCTGTCAGGGCGCACTGCTGTACCAATAACTCCAGTGTGACTTTTCTTTACAGCAGGTATTCTTTCACTTCTTTTTCTCCAGGTGTGTTTTGGCTTTGCACTCCTAAGATACAAACCCCATTGCATTGCATTCTGTGGCACTTCCAGACTCCCCTCATCCAAGCCCAGGGATGAGGCAAGCAGTGGGCTCCCACCCAGGCAGAGCAGGTTAGGGGCAGGCTGGAACTAACCGGGGGTCTTGGGGTGGGGCGTGAGAGGGATTTCCAGGGTCCCAATTCTGGACTGGTTGGATTGGTTACTGCCACTAGGGGACAGGGCAAAGGGACGGACAGAAGTAGCACCAGAACTACACCAAGCCCAGGCGGGGCCTTTCTGAGAGACACCCAGACAGGGACAAAAACAGACTAAGTGAAGGGAGAGAGAGAGCCAGGGAAGAAGAGAAAGACTGCACAGAGTCTAGTGGAGCGGGAGGCGGAAAAGGGATTCAAAGCAGGAAGCTACAGGCAAAGGCAAGGGGGGAAAGGGAGGTGGGGTGTGTGTGTGTGTGACAGAGGCGGGGGGGGGGGGGCACGGAGGGGGCAGCCTGGAAAGCCCGGAGTGTGATGGGGGGTTGTAGGGGTTAGGGATGGGTGAGGGAGGGGGCCAGGACGACCCAAGGGGAATGCCGCTTTGTGCACTCACAGTATCCAGTCCCGGGTGCTGGATCCGGGACTCCTGGCCGGACTGCTTGGGTTGGTTTGCGGTCAGGCTCATCCTGCAGGCAGGGCAGCACTCACTCCCAGCACAGTTCTGCCACGTGGAGGTAGCTTCCAGACCGGAAATGCACCTGACTCCCCGCCCCTGGGGAATTCTGGCCTTGTCCTATATCTCCTGTGACTGCCCCTCCCTTCTCCCCTCTGAGCCCAAATTATCTCGTTTGTAAATACCTGTAATACTTACTTGCCTGGGTTACTGTGACACAGTGTGACGGATTTCAGCATGTTTGTAAGATTTGCATGGAATGAATACTGAATCACAACAAAAGGGTCTGGGAGTATAGATTTTCTGTCATCTGAAAATTTGGAAAACACAAGAATAAAACAAGAGTGATGTTCAGCAGACACCTGTGCCCATTCCTTTAGATTTCCAAGTGCAAATCCCATCTGTCGGCCCAACCAGCAGGTAGCTCTCCAGTTCCTCCTCTCCACTTCCAATATGGGTTGTCACTCATTTATTCAACCAGGAATTATTGATACTTGTTAGGGTTCAGATA